GGACTGTGAATTTGGTGCGATTTGTGCTGTGAATTTGGTGCGACTTTGATTGCAGCTTTGCTGTGAATTTGGTGCGACTTTGGTGCGACTTTGCCTGTTGCGCAGCCGTCGCAGTGATTAACATGAAGATGCGACTTTGGTGCGACTTTGATGCGACTTTGCTGTGAATTTGCTTTGAATTTGGTTGCGACTTTGATGCGACTTTGCTGTGACTTTGGTTCACAGCGACTTTGGTGCGACTTTGGTGCGACTTTGCCTGTTGCGCAGTCCGTCGCAGTGATAACATGAAGATGCGACTTTGCAGAGCTCAATCGCAGTCTCCGGCTCTCGAGTCGCAGTAAAGCCGAGCCGGAATCCTTCTAAAGTCACTTCCACTTTTAGTCGTCTGGATTTGAACGGATTCTATAGAAAAACTTGTGTGACGTGATGTACACTGGCTAGGAGGGCGTTCCTCCCACCAGCCTCAGAAGGCGGGGGGGGTTGAGGTATTTTGTTTTACTTTTTTTTCCTTATTGGCCCACATTTTTTAAATAATCCTTTTGTAGGTGACTCTGCTTCTATTGGGGGAGGGGGGCGGGGCTCTCAGTAGAGGGGGATTCCAATTTTATTGGGGGAGGGGTGGGTCTCAGTAGAGGGGGATTCCATTTTATTGGGGGAGGGGAGGTTCTGTCTCAGTAGAGGGGGATTCCATTTTATTGGGGTGAGGAGGGCGTGTCTCAGTTTAGAGGGGGATTCCCTTTATTGTGGGGGAGGAGGGGGGTCTCAGTAGAGGGGGATTCCATTTTATTGGGGGAGGGGGGTTCTCATGTAGAGGGGGGATTCCCATTTTATTGGGGGAGGAGGGGTCTCAGTAGTAGGGGGGATTCCACTTTATTGGGGGAGAGTGAGGGCCTGGTCTCAGTAGAGGGGGATTCCATTTTATTGGGGGAGGAGGGGTCTCAGTAGAGGGGGATTCCAAATTTATCGGGGAGGGGGAGGCTTGGGAGGAGGTGGGGGGGTCTCAGTAGAGGGGGATTCCATTTTATGGAATGGGGAGGGGGGGGTCTCAGTAGAGGGGGGATTTCCATCTTTATTGGGGGAAGGGGTGTCTCAGTAGAGGGGGCATGGTCTCTCCATTTTATTGGGGTGAGGGGGAGGGTCTCAGTAGGAGGGGATTCCACTTCAGTAGAGGGGGCTCGGGGGGCTGGGGGGGGTCTCTGGTAGAGGGGGATTACACTTTATCGGGGGAGGGGTGGTCTCAGTAGAGGGGGATTCCACTTTATGTTCGGGGGCAAATCATGGGGGTCGGTCTCAGTAGAGGGGGATTCCACTTTATCGGGGGAGGGGGGTCTCAGTAGAGGGGGATTCCACTTTATTGGGGGAGGGTGGGTGTCTCTCAGTAAGTAGAGGGGGATTCCACTTTATTGGGGGAGGGGGGGTCTCAGTAGATGGGGATTCCATTTTGTTTGGGGGAGGAGGGGTCTCAGTAGAGGGGGATTCCATTTTATTGGGGGAGGGGGGATCTCAGTAGAGGGGGATTCCATTTTATTGGGGGACAGGGGTAGGAGGTCCTCAGTAGAGGGGGGCCACATTTAATTGGGCGGAGAGGGGGGGGACTCTCAGTATGAGGGGGCTCTCCCATTTTTCATGGTGGGGGGGGGGGGATCTCAGTAGAGGGGGATATGCACCACTTTATCGGGATGGAGGGGGGGATCTCAGTAGGAGGGGGTGATTCCACTTTATCGGGGGGAGGGGGGGGGTCTCAGTAGAGGGGGATTCCATTTTATTGGGGGAGGGGGGTCTCAGTAGAGGGGGATTCCATTTTATTGGGGGAGGGGGGGTCTCAGTAGAGAGGGGGCTCTCCATTTTATTGGGGGTGGAGGGGGGGTCTCAGGAGAGGGGGATTCGCACTTTATTGGGGGAGGGGGGGGTTCAGTAGAGGGGGAATTTATCGGGGGAGAGGGGGGGTTCAGTAGAGGGGGATTCACAATTTATCGGGGGAGGTGGGGGTTCTCAGTAGAGGGGGATTCCACTTTATCGGGGGAGGGGGGTCTCAGTAGAGGGGGATTCCACTTTATCGGGGGGGGGCTCTCCCATTTTTATTGGGGGAGGGAGGGTCTCAGTAGTAGAGGGGGATTCCACTTTATCGGGGCGGAGGGGGGGTCTCAGTAGAGGGGGATTCCACTTTATTGGGGGAGGGGGGTCTCAGTAGAGGGGGATTCCACTTTATCGGGGCCGAGGGGGGTTAAGTAGAGGGGGGATCCGTGGATTTAGTCGGGGGAGGGGGGTGGTCTCAGTAGAGGGGGATTCCACTTTAATGGGGGAGGGGGGGTCTCAGTAGAGGGGGATTCCACTTTATTGGGGAGGGGGGGGGTCTCAGTAGAGGGGGATTCCACTTTATCGGGGGGAGGGGGGTCTCAGTAAGAGGGGGATTTCCACTTTATCGGGGGGGGGGAGGTCTCAGTCGGGGGTTCCACTTTAGTAGAGGGGGGATTCCACTTTAATGGGGAGGGGGGGTCTAGTCTCAGTAGAGGGGGATTCCACTTTTAATGGGCGGTCCCCCTTTACCCTGTTTCCATTGACCCGAGTTGAATTGGTAGGCTCAGTGACGCTCAGAATGTGTCTTCAGGATGTGTCTGTCAGAACCACCATGGGGCCCCTACACTGCCAACCTGACAGGGCTGTGTCATCTGTTCAGTGATGATTGAACACTGTGAAGCGATCGATATCGATCATTCCTGGAACCGATCCTCTGTATGGCTGATAGCTGAACAGGGGGGGGGAGAGGAGGGGGGGGGGGGGCCATCATTCCTGAGAAACGGGTGCGTTCCTCTGTATGGGCAGGGGGGATGGGGGAGGGGGGGAGGGAGGACTTTCAGCTGCTGCAGAGGACCATGCCTCCATCTAATCTACCATCAGAAGTGCGTTCCTACGGACATGGGGCAATGGCAAGGAGTGGGCTGGAGGATCTATTGTCGCTGGCTGCTGGGGGAATTTATTGTCGCTGGTGGGGATCTATTGTCGCTGGTGGGGATCTATTGTCGTGGTGGGGGATCTATTATCGCTGGTGGGGAATCTATTGTCACTGGGTGGAATTTATTGTCGCTGGTGGGGATCTATTGTCGCTGGTGGGGATCTGTTATCGCTGGTGGGATCTATTGTCACTGGGGGAATTTATTGTCGCTGGTGGGGATCTATTGTCGCTGGTGGGGATCTATTGTCGCTGGTGGGGATCTCTTATCGCTGGTGGGGAATCTATTGTCACTGGGGGAATTTGTTGTCACTGGTTGGGATCTATTATCGCTGGTGGGGATCTATTATCGCTGGTGGGGTCTATTGGTCACTGGGGGAGATTTTATTGTCGCTAGTGGGGATCTATTATCATCACTGGTGGGGATCTACTGTCGCTGGTGGGGAATCTATTGTCACTGGTGGGGATCTATTGTTGTTGGGGGAACTTATTGTCGCTGGTGGGGATCTATTGTCGCTGGTGGGGATCTATTGTAGTTGGTGTGGGATCTCATTGTCACTGGGTGTGGAACTATGTTGTTGCTGGTGGGTGATCTATTGTCACATGGAACTTGTGGGGATCTATTGTCGCTGGGGGAGTTATTGTCGCTGGTGGGATCTATTGTCGCTGGTGGGGATCTTTTTTGCATGGAGTTCTCTTGTTGCTGTCTAGGTCTATTGTGGCTGTTTGGGGGTAGAATTGTTGCTAGGACGGATCTTCTGTTGAGGTAGAAGCAATTGTTGCTGGCTGTCGGGAGATATGTTGCTGCTGCTGGGGTTCTATTGTTGCTGGGGTGTGGTATTTTGTTGTATGGTGGATCTATTGATGCTGAGGTAGTCTATTGTTTCACTGGGGGGTGTCTACTGTTGCTGGGGTGGCGGTCTACTGTTTCTGGGAGGGATCTACTGTTGCTGTTGAGGGTGTCTATTGATTCTGAGAGGGATCTAATGTTGATGGTGAAGTCTATCGTTTTAGGCTGTCAGGAGATATGTTGTTGCTGCTGGGGGTCTAATGTTGCTGGGAGGGTATTTTGTTGGGGGGTGTATTGCTGCTAGGGGGAACTCTATTGCTGCGTGTGGGTAATCTATTGTTGCTGAGGTAGTCTATTGTTTTGGGGGGGGTGCATACTGTTTCTGGGGTGGGGGTCTATTGTTTCTGGAGGGGATCTACTGTTGAGGGTGAAGTATACTGTTGCTGGCTGTCAGGAGATATGTTGTTGCTGGGGTTCTATTGTTGCTGGGGTGGTATTTTGTTGTGGGGGGAGGGTAAGGTATTGTTGCTAGGGGGAAGTATATTGTTGTATATGGTGGATCTATTGATGCTGAGGTAGTCTGTTGTTTCTTGGGGGTGCCTAATGTTGCTGGGGTGGGGTCTATTGTTTCTGGGAGGGATCTAATGTTGGTGAAGTCTATCATTTTAGGCTGTCAGGAGATATGTTGTTGCTGGGGGTCTATTGTTGCTGGGGTGGTGTTTTGTTGGGGGGTATTGTTGCTAGGGGGGGAGTATATTGTGTGGTGGATCTATTGTTGCTGAGGTAGTCTATTGTTTCTGGAGGGGGTCTACTCTTGCTGGGGTGGTAGTCTATTGTTTCTGGGGGGGTCTACTCTTGCTGGGGTGGGGTCTATTGTTTCTGGGGGGGTCTACTCTTGCTGGGGTGGTAGTCTATTGTTTCTGGGGGGGTCTACTCTTGCTGGGGTGGGGTCTATTGTTTTCTGGGGGGGTCTACTCTTGCTGGGGTGGTAGTCTATTGTTTCTGGGGGGGTCTACTCTTGCTGGGGTGGGGTCTATTGTTTTCTGGGGGGGGGGTCCTAACTCTTGCTGGGGTGGTAGTCTATTGTTTCTGGGGGGGTCTACTCTTGCTGGGGGTGGGGTCTATTGTTTCTGGGGGGGGTCTACTCTTGCTGGGGTGGGTAGTTCTATTGTTTCTGGGAGGAATCTACTGTTGAGGTAGTAGAACTTATTTGTTGCTGACTGCTGGAAGATCTGTTGTTGCTGGGGATAATATTTTGTTGCGGGGGGGGGGCATTGTTGCTAGGGGGGATATCTTGTAGGTGGGTAGGAGAGGAACCAAGGGGCGGTGCTCGGGAGGTGGGTAGGAGGGTGGTACCAAGGGGCGGGTGCTCGGAGGTGGGTTAGGAGAGGAACCAAGGGGCGGTGCTCGCGGAGGTGGGTAGGAGAGGAACCAAGGGGCGGTGCTCGGAGCTCGGTGGGTAGGAGAGGAACCAAGGGTGGCGGTGCTCGGAGGTGGGTAGGAGAGGAACCAAGGGACGGTGCTCGGAGGTGGGTATTTAGGGCGTGGAACCAAGGGACAGTGCTCGGAGGTGGGTAGGAGGTGGTACCAAGGGTGACGGTGCTCGGAGGTGGGGTAGGAGAGGAACCAATGGGCGGTGCTCGGAGGTGGGTAGGGTGTGGTACCAAGGGACGGTGCTCGGGAGGTGGGTAGGAGAGGAGGGACCAAGGGACGGTGCTCGGAGGTGGGTATAAAAGGAACCAAGGGACGGTGCTCGGAGGTGGGTAGGGTGTGGACCAAGGGACGGTGCTGATCGGAGGTGGGTAGGAGGTGGTACCAAGGGGACGGTGCTCGGAGGCGGGTAGGAGAGGTGGTACCAAGGGACGGTGCTCGGAGGTGGGTAGGAGAGGAACCAATGGGCGGTGCTGCTCGGAGGTGGGTAGGAGAGGAAAACCAAGGGGCGGTGCTCGGAGGTGGGTAGGAGGTGGTACCAAGGGACGGTGCTCGGAGGTGGGTAGGAGAGGAACCAAGGGACGGTGTCTCGGAGTGGTGGGTAGGGTGTGGAACCAAGGGACAGTGCTCTGGAGGTGGGTAGGAGGTTGGTACCAAGGGACGGGTGCTCGGAGGTGGGTAGGAGAGGAACCAAGGGACGGTGCTCGGAGGTGGGTAGTGGGTGGAACCAAAGGACATTGCTCGGAGGTGGGTAGGAGAGGAACCAAGGGACGGTGCTCGGAGGTGGGTTGGAGAGGAAACCAAGGGATGGTACTCAGAGGTGGGTAGGAGAGAGGAACCAAGGGACAGTGCTCGGAGGTGGGTAGGAGAGGAACCAAGGGACGGTGCTCGGAGGCTAGTAGAAAAGGAACCAAGGGACGGTGCTCAGAGGTGGGTAGGAGAGGAACCAAGGGACGGTGCTCGGAGGTGGGGTAGGGTGTGGAACCAAGGGACGGTGCTCGGAGGTGGTGTAGGAACTGGTGGTACCCAAGGGACGGTGCTCGGAGGTGGGTAGGAGAGGAACCAAGGGACGGTGCTCGGAGGTGGGTAGGAGAGGAACCAAGGGACGTTGCTCTCAGAGGCGGGAAGAAGTGGAACCAAGGGACGGTGCTCAGAGGTGGGTAAAAGAGGAACCAAGGGACAGTGCTCGGTAGGTGGGTAGGAGAGGAACCAAGGGTAAGGTGCTTGGAGGTGGGTAGGGGGGCGGAGACAAGGGGTGACTTAGAAGGTGGGAGTTTCTGAACCTATTCCCAAAAGAGGAACAAAAAAAAAATCTGTTTGATGTGTTTGGGGTCAGTCCCTATTGACAAGCATTGTTGGAGGACATGTTGGAGATCTTCTTGCCTGGAGGTCCAGCCTCCAGGAATGGTCAGATGGCCCCAGCACACTCCTTCAGTTGGCTGTTGAGCCAGACTGTTCAGGCCCCTGATATCTCACCAAAGACTCCACAAAATACGTAAAAAATGTAAAAAATAATATATATATATATTAAAGAATTGTAAAAAAAATAATTAAAAATCGTAAAAAACAAAATCAGACTAAAGTTTCTAGTCAGACCAGGAGGCCACACCCACTGTTTGCCGCAGGTCACCATCTCTGGTAGGGGGCCCCAGTGCATTCATACCCCTGATATCTCACCAAAGACTACACAAAATACGTCAAAATGTAAAAAAATATATTTTAAAGAATTGTAAAGAAAAATAATTAAAAATTGTTAAAAATAAAAAACAGACTAAAAATTTCTAATCAGACTAGAAAACCACACCCAAATTTGTAGCATTTAGCCACACCCATCTTCCTGGTAGGGGTACCCAGTGCATTCAGACCCTTGATATCTCACCAAAGACTCCACGAAAAACATAAAAATGTAAAAAAAAATATTTAAACAAAATTTAAAAAAAAAGTAAAAGTTGTAAAAAAAAAACACAAATCAGACTAAAAATTTCTAATCAGATTAGAAAGCCACGCCCAAGTTTGTAGCATAATTTAGCCACACCCACTGTTTGCAGGTCACCATCTTCCTGGTACGGGGGGCCCCAGTGCATTACTTTGCCCAGGGGACATGATGCTATTAGGACGGCACTGGTTTACGGTTACGTGAAGTCACATGTCTGATTCTGCCCAACCCAGTACAATGCCAACCTATGTCCTCCGATAATTTCTCCGAAATGTAGGCTGTTGGTGGACCTTTTCCTTCAATGAGATCTTTCATTCTTGACTTTTTTTTTTGGTGGTCCTTTATCGTCGCTGGGATCTTTCATTCTTGACTTTTTTTTGGTGGACCTTTTCCTTCGATGAGATCTTTCATTCTTGACTTTTTTTTGGTGGACCTTTTCCTTCGATGAGATCTTTCATTCTTGACTTTTTTTTGGTGGACCTTTTCCTTCGATGAGATCTTTCATTCTTGACTTTTTTTTGGTGGACCTTTTCCTTCGATGAGATCTTTCATTCTTGACTTTTTTTTGGTGGGACCTTTTCCTTCGATGAGATCTTTCATTCTTGACTTTTTTTGGTGGACCTTTTCCATCGATAAGATCTTTCATTTCTTGACTTTTTTTTGGTGGACCTTTTCCGTTGATGAGATCTTTCATTGTTGGAACTTTTTTTTTTGGTGGACCTTTTCCATCGATGAGATCTTTTATTCTTGTCTTTTTTTTGGTGGACCTTTTCCATCGATGAGACCTTTCATTCTTATCTTTTTTTTTTTTGGTGGACCTTTTGCATCGATGAGATCTTTCATTCGTTGTCTTTTTTTTTGTGGACCTTTTCCATCGATGAGATCTTTCATTCTTGTCTTTTTTTTTTTTGGTGGACCTTTTCCATCGATGAGATCTTTCATTCTTATCTTTTTTTTTTTTTGGTGGACCTTTTCCCTTATCCGATCGATGAGACCTTTCATTGTTGATCTTTTTTTTTTTTTGGTGGAACCTTTTCCATCGATGAGAAACCTTTCATTCTTGATCTTTTTTTTTTTTTGGTGGACCTTTTCCATCGATGAGATCTTTTATTCTTGTCTTTTTTTTTGGTGGACCTTTTCCATCGATGAGACCTTTCATTCTTATCTTTTTTTTTTTTGGTGGACCTTTTCCATCGATGAGACTTTCATTCTTATCTTTTTTTTTTTTTGGTGGACCTTTTCCATCGATGAGATCTTTCATTCTTGTCTTTTTTTTTGGTGGACCTTTTCCATCGATGAGACCTCTCATTCTTGACTTTTCTTTTTTCCAATGCAGGCAAACGGATTACCCAGGAAATGTGGAATTCCACCAGCTTCCATCCTGAATATTTCCTCCTGATTGGAATTCCTGGCCTGGAGGACTCACATCTCCTGTTCTCCTTCCCTTTCTCCATCATGTATGTCTTGTCACTGCTGGGAAACTCTACGTTGATACTGGCCATCTCAGCCAATGAGATTCTCCACCAGCCGATGTACATCTTCCTGACCATGTTGGCAATCAGCGATGTCCTCCTGAGCTCTTCTACCGTCCCGAAGACCCTCAGCATCTTCTGGTTCAATGCTCACGAGATCTCCTTCAACGGATGCCTCACCGAAGTGTTCTTCATCCATTTCACTTTCGTTGTAGAGTCGGCCATTCTGCTCTTCATGGCCTACGACCGTTACTGCGCCATCTGTCACCCGTTAACCTATTCCCACCACCGTCACCAACCCCTTCGCAGCAAAGGCCGCCATGTTAGCCGTTTTTAGAAGCTTCTGCATGGTGGCACCATTCGTCTTCTTACTCAAGAGATTACCTTTCCAGCAACGCAACGTGATAGAGCACACCTACTGCGAGCACATGTCGGTGGCCAAGCTGGCTACCGCCGACATACTAGTCAACGTGGTGTACGGACTGGTCATAGCGGCTTCTTCTTCCGGCCTGGACATGATCCTCATTATAGTGTCCTACGGTGTGATCATCTCGGCGGTTCTGAGGCTCCCATCCTCAGAGGCTCGTTTCAAGGCCTTCAACACCTGCGTGTCCCACATCTGCGTGATCGTTCTCTTCTACGTCCCGGCATTTTTTTCTTTTATAGCTCACAGGGTCGGCTACAAAAACATTTCTCTGCAGTTCCACATCATCTTTGCCAATCTCTACGTCCTCGTTCCTCCCATGATGAACCCCATCATCTACGGCATCAGAACCAGAGAAATACGGGAGAAGACATTCGTCGCTTTTGCTAGAATGGCCAGTAATAGACCAAGAAGGGTGGTGACCTTCCTCTAAGGATGTGGTTCTGGCTTCGTGTATAAAATGGTAGAGAAAAACGTTTTTGGTGATCCTTCATCCGACATCACTGGTAGATGGTTCTCTTCCACGAATAATCGATCTAGGTTCAGATTTAGGGTGGGAATATATTCCAATGTGTTCTTAGACCGGCTGAAGGAGGCTCTCATATCTTAGATGTGGTCTCTGGACCTCTAGATCGTCCAAATAAAATTGATCTGAAATTTAACATTCTCGTTCTTTTTTTTTTTCTGCTCTCTTCCTATCTAACAAAAAGAGATGGGCCGTTCGAGGTCAAACGTTCGAAGCTAAAGAACTTTCCACTTCGAAATCGATGCCAGTCTACGAGACTGGAACTTGCAAATTCAAGAGCGCCCATTTTCAAAGGCTTCTAGGCAAGGTATTGGCCATATAAGGGGTCATGGGGACTCGGGGACTGTCCCTAAAAGCCATACCAGGACCTTTAGGCCTGGTAGGACTTTTAATTGGAATCTTATCTCCACAAATGGAGGTAAGAAAAAAGCGTGGAGTCCCCTCCAATCCTTACCAGACCCTTTAGGTCTGGTAGGAAGATTAAGAGGGACCCCCCAATCCATAGCAGACCCTTTAGGTCTGGTAGGAAGATTAGGAGGGACCCCCCAATCCATAGAAGACCCATTAGGTGTGGTAGGGCAGACCCATTAGGTGTGGTAGGAAGGTTAGGAGGGTCCCCCCAATCCATAGCAGACCCATTAGGTGTGGTAGGAAGGTTAGGAGGGCCCCCCCCCAATCCATAGCAGACCCATTAGGTGTGGTAGGAAGGTTAGGAGGGACCCCCCAATCCATAGCAGACCCATTAGTGTGGTAGGAAGGTTAGGAGGGCCCCCAATCCATAGCAGACCCATTAGGTGTGGTGTGGTAGGAAGGTTAGAAGGGGGACCCCCAATCCATAGCAGACCCATTAGGTGTGGGTAGGAAGGTTAGGAGGGCCCCCCCCCAATCCATAGCAGACCCATTAGGTGTGGTAGGAAGGTTAGGAGGGACCCCCAAAATCCATAGCAGACCCATTAGGTGTGGTAGGAAGGTTAGGAGGGACCCCCCAATCCATAGCAGACCCATTAGGTGTGGTAGGAAGGTTAGGAGGGACCCCCCAATCCATAGCAGACCCATTAGGTGTGGTAGGAAGGTTAGGAGGGACCCCAATCCATAGCAGACCCATTAGGTGTGGTAGGAATGGTTAGGAGGGACCCCAAATCCATAGCAGACCCATTAGGTGTGGTAGGAAGGTTAGGAGGGACCCCCCCAATCCATAGCAGACCCATTAGGTGTGGTAGGAAGGTTAGGAGGGACCCCCCAATCCATAGCAGACCCATTAGGTGTGGTAGGAAGGTTTAGGAGGGACCCCCCAATCCATAGCAGACCCATTAGGTGTGGTAGGAAGGTTAGGAGGGACCCCCAATCCATAGCAGACCCATTAGGTGTGGTAGGAAGGTTAGGAGGGCCCCCCAATCCATAGCAGACCCATTAGGTGTGGTAGGAAGGTTAGGAGGGACCCCCAATCCATAGCAGACCCATTAGGTGTGGTAGGAAGGTTAGGAGGGACCCCCAAATCCATAGCAGACCCATTAGGTGTGGTAGGAAGGTTAGGAGGGCCCCCAATCCATAGCAGACCCATTAGGTGTGGTAGGAAGGTTAGGAGGGACCCCCCAATCCATAGCAGACCCATTAGGTGTGGTAAGGAAGGTTAGGA